TCACCTTTCTCTTTGTTCTTTATCGTTTTCCTTCTACCCATAACTGCACTTTTTTAGATGTAATATTTGATCAAATTGACTATCCCTTCTCTCTTTACCCCTCTACCAATATTGTTTTTGTTGTTGACTTTAATGCTCATCACATTGAATGGCTTGGCTCTAACGCCACTGACCCTGCTGGCACTAAAACTTATAACTTCTGCATTACTTGATCTATTACTCAGATAGTTAACTTTGTGACTCATTTTCCTGACAACCTTAATCATTTACCTTTACTCCTTGAATTACGTCTGGTCTCTGATTCTAGCTAGTGTTCAGTTTCTTCTTTTTCTCCTTTAGGTAGTTCTGACCATGCAATGATCTTTTTAAATCTTTTATCTCGTACTTCTTTTTTGGGCTCACCCTATCATCGCATTACTTACTACTACCCTAAAGCTAACTGGGACTCTTTTCGTGATTTTCTTTGTGTCTGTCCTTGGGCAGATGCCTTTTCCCTGTCAGCTGAAAGAATGCGCCTCTTAAATAACCTGCTGGACACAGGCAAGAATGGAAGCTTTTATTCCTTCTTGTCGGTTCCAAATCAAGCCTCATTCTACTTTTCACCCGCTTGTGCAGCTGCTATATCTACTTGTAATCATTTTTTTCATCTTTTTCAAAAGAACAACTTTCTTGAGAACAAATGGCTATTTATTATTGCAAGAAATCGATGTAAAAATATGCTAAGCTCCATTATTCTCAGCTCTCTAAATCTAATATCTTATCTCAGAAGTTAGACTCTAGAGGCTTTTAGAAAATATCCAACAGCGTTGTTAACAAGGATAAGTCTAATATTCCATCTCCCATTCATTATACTGATCTTATTACCTCTCCCAAGGATAAGGCAGACCTATTTGTAAAGAACTTTTCATCTAATTCAAGTCTTTAGATTCCATTAAAAAACAGCTTAACAAATTGTTAGACATTCAAATCATTCTACCTTCTGTTGCTAAAATCATGTCTTGATTAATGTCTTCATGAGGTTTTTACTTTCCTAAAAATGTTACTTGCACAAATATATTTTTGCAACCACGTTGTATTTTATAAAAAATTTTAAACGCTTTATTATTGTGGTTTTTTTACATATTAAAAAGAAGCAAGCCAGTCAATATAAATATGATTGAAACTTTTGTAATCTTTTAATGCAGTGACATATATAAGTCACTGCATTAAAATTAATCTTTTAATGCAGTGACATAATCGAATTATGGCTTGTGGTCCAGACAACATCACTGTCATAGTCTTACAAAATTGTTCTCTATGATTCTCTTCAATTCTCTCTAAATTAATTTATTTGAGTCTTTTTTTACTGCCTGCTGGAAAAATGGCATCTGTTGTTCCAATTTTAAAAAACTCTGTCGAACATTCTGACCCCTCCAATTACTATCAGATCAGTCTTCATCCTGTTATTAACAAGGTCTTCGAGTCTTTGATCAATAAATTTCCATCATACCATCAAATAACTTACTGTCAGAAAATCAGTACAGTTTTCGATCCTCTTGCTGTACGGCTGACTTGCTAACTGCTATGACTGAAAGATATTATTGTGCATTAGATGGAGGCAGAGGTTAGGGCTAATGCTCTTGATATATCTAAGGCTTTCAACAAAGTTTGACATACTGGTCTATACTTCTCTATAGCTTGTTTCATATGGTGTATTTGGGAAAGTTATTGAGATTATCAAATTGTTTCTTTCTAACTGCTTTATTAAAGTCATCCTCAACACTCTTCTTTATTTCGCCAACACTCTTCTTTATTTCCAGTAACTTCTGGGGTACCTCAAGGTTCTATCCATGGTCCTGTTTTGTTTCTTATTTACATTAATGATCTTTTTAACAACTTTACATCCAAAGTCTTTTTGATGATAACTCAACTTTATACTGTAGCCATTCTTGAACCTGATCTCAATACTGTAACAGAGTGAGGATCACAGTGGGATCAAACAACTATTGCAATACTATCAACATTCCTATATTAATGAGCGGCAACCCTCTTACTGAGTCCTTTTCTTTATGTTTTCTTGGATTATTTTTTACTAGTGACCTTTCATGGAAACAATATATATATTTTTTTAAGTTTACCTCCACAAGGTCAAGAAGGTCACTACAAATAAGAAGGCTACTTAGTTGTAGTTATTGCCCTCTCTCAACTCTATAAATCCGAAACAAGAACTTTGACAAACAAGGCCGCTGGACAGAGAAACAAGTTGAGCACAGTACTACCAGGGATGTGGTGGGGGATCAAACTATATACAATGAATTACTAAATTAGCATCTGCTAAAATTGCTTCTCTATATCGTGCTTGTTATTTTCTCTCTTCTGATTCTATTCTCTACCTCTACAAATCTCTTATTTGTCCCTGTATGGAATACTGTTATCATATTTGGGCTGATTCTTCTAATGATGCTCTTTCTCTTCTAATTCACTCCTATCTTCATGTTTTACTGACTCAACTGTTATCTTGCTCTACAATTCTATTCTGTTTTCTAGTAACTCCCAACCAGTCGGAGTTGCAACATTTTTAGGAGAGTCGGAGTCGCTAAACAAAATCGCGACTCTGACTCCAATAGTAAAACTTCTCGGTATTTTATGTGCATGTACAAAACATTCAATTAACCTTATGTTCATACTAAACCTCAAAGACCGTTTCATAAATTTGTCAAAAAAGAAATTTTTAACTTATCGCGTAATATTTTTTTAAGAATACAAAGAATTTTTTAAAAATTTTGCTTTGGAGTCGGAGTCGTTACTTTTTTTTTATGACTCCACACCCCTGCTCCCAACTTAATAGTGGTTGCTTTGTTGGGAGTGAATCAGAATTAAATATATATATATATTATATATATATGTATATATATATATATATATATATATATATATATATATATATATATATATATATATATATATATATATATATATATATATATATATATATATATATATATATATATATATATATATATATATATATATATATATATATATATATATTGACAAATCTTTGCAGGCTGTTGGTGTAGATTCTGGAAATGTAAATGGTCGTTGAAAAGATAAACCAATCAAATATTTAGAAAGAAATTAGAATAAAAACTTGTTTGGTTTATTTGTCAAGGCCTTACAAACAAGTTGCCATTGAGAAACATTATAATCAAATTATATGATAAAAAACATATTTGGTCTGGCTATAGATATGATAAGAGATCCATCATTTGATATGAACCCATCACTTAAATCTAATTAAATATTTTTCAAGTAAAAATATAAAGGCAATTATATACAAAGTTGTTGGTGTAATATGATTAAAAAATGTTTTATTGTTGTATGTTGGTCTAATTATTCAGGTAATAAATCAACTTATGTAATTTTTTTTCCAACAAGCAAATATATAAAAAACAAATGGATTTGATATGTGAACAGAAAAATCTGGAAACTAAATTCCTTATCTGTAATGTAATGTTTTACGAAGAGTAAAGCATTTTGACAATAAACTTACAAAGAAGGGTGAACAATGTAAAAGATTCTGATTGATTAAAAACTTAAAATCAGTTTTTACTATTTATCCATATTCTATCGAGTTGACACGGAAAAATTTGGTCAACTTTAAATTGATATTTCTCTAAAACCATAAATGCTTTATATTTTTAATTTTTTTTATATTAAATTTGTTTACATCAATTAGAGTTTTAACTTAATTTTAAGGGGCTTGATGGGCTGTTTAACAAGAGATCAAACTTTATAGCAGGTTGATGCCATCATTTCCGCATATTTTTTCTTTTTTCACCTTATTGGTGGCATTAATCCACTTTTTTTGAAGTCATTATTTTTTGTCTTTTGATTATTACCTGTCTTACGAAAAACTCCTTTAACTGTTGAACAAAAATCTTCAATCTTGCTTTCTTCAGGACGATTTGGAGGATCCACATCTTCAGGAACAATTTCACATTACTTTTTTTGCACCACTGAAATTAATTTAGAATAGTGAGAAGCAGCAAGATCTGGCTAAAAGAGACATCAGTTTTTTTTTTTGTATATGTCAAAAGTCTTTTTTAGAGGTTTTTTTTTGTGTAGAGATCGGCAGATCTTCTTAGTGAGGATTGCATACCACAGCTTCAACATGCTTGCCACACAAGAAACTTGGATGCAAATTTTTCTCGTCAAATAAATTTAAATTGGTCATTGACAGGTTTATCTTTGTTCTCATAGTAAAACTGGTGACTAGGAACTTGTAAAAAATCTGCCTTGCAATATGTTTCGTTGTCTTTAATAATGCACATAGTTTTATCCGCCATTGTTTTAATCAACTTCTTTGCTCATCGAATTTCTTTAATTTTACCATTCAAGCTTCTCTTAGGTGTATTTTTTTATAAAATACTTGAATTTCAGCATTTTTAAGTACTTTTTTGATATAAGAACGCAAAGATCTTTCTTGCTAGATCTCGCTGTGACCGGTTCGGATTTCTCACAATTGAGCTAAAAATCAACTTTATCTTTTTGGATTTATGAAAAGTTTTCTTTCTTCAACTTCCAAGTTTTTCTTTGAAGCTTTGAGAAAACTTAGTTATAATATCTATGACTGTAGATTTTATTTATAATATTTATGGCTGTAGATTTTGGGACATTAGCATTCAAGCGATGAAGTCAACGGATTTTTGAAAAAAAAAATCGAAATATTGTTACGCACCTTAATTTGTTTCGGAAACAATTTGTAAATAATTAATTTGTAAACAAAAGTTTATCAACACAATTAAAGTTAAGGAAATAACGTTTAATTAAAAAAAATAAAAGAAATAAAAACCATTTGTGGTTTTAGACAAATCTCAATTTAATGTTGACCAGATTTTTCTGTGTCCACTCGATATAGAGATAACATCTTTACTATCTACAATTTTACTACCACAAAAATTTCCTAAAAAAAATCTTAAGATAAATATCAGTTATTTTAAATGAATGCTTCTTTACTTTACTTATGAATGATTCTTTACTTAACTTAAATTCAATCAATGAGATAGTGCTCCAGAATATACCTTTTCTAAATTATAATTGTTTGTCAGAAGTTACAGAATGTATAAAGATTTATAAAGACTTACATTTGAAATTTTTTTTTGAAAGGGTTTTCCTGTATCTTTGCACCAATGGTTTAGGCATGGGAGCAATTGTAAACTTAGTAAAAAAAACCATGCTTGAAAATCTTCCTTCATACCTAGAAGAACAGTTAAAAAATTTCTGCTTTTTTTAGATAAGCTTAAAAAACGCATTTCAATCGTGTTTATTTAAAAAATAAAATTTTGAGATAAAATAAGTAGTTTTAGAGATTCAATCACAATATCACAGAATCACAAAATCACAGAATCACAAAATCACAGAATCACAAAATCACAGAATCACCAAATGTTTGTTTTTACTGTACATATTGATATCTGTAAAACATTAGAAATAATTTGTTAAATAGAAAAAGTTTTGCTTTTCCTGCATTCAATTTATTTTAATATTTAAGTCTTGTAAAATCGTCTGGTGAAATTTAAGTTTTATGAAATTTCCTAGAAACTGTTACTCAATGTTCACAGGGATGAAAATTTAGATGCAAATTTAAAAAAAGTTCCTAGAATCTGCAAATTTAAAAAAAAGCTCCTACAATCTGCAAACTTTAAAAAAAGCTCCTAGAATCTGTAAATTTAAAAAAGCTCTTAGAACCTAGAATCTGCAAATTTAAACAGAATGTTCAGATTGCACTTGACACTTTTCATGAAACTACAATAGTTGCTAAAAAATCTTATTTTCTGAATTGTAAAGATGCTAGTTTTCTTTGTCTTTTCAATGCCTTGGTGGACAATATCTAACTTTAAAGTCAACCTTTGCTTCAGTCAAACTTCAACTTCAAACAGCCACAGGTGATAAAAAGCCTTAGTTTCTCCATGCATTGGTACAGTAGGTTTCGACTTAGGAAAGTTCAAAAATTTGTAATACTGAAAACTTTATTTTATCAACTGTTTATGAAGACTTGATATTATGTCCAACCTTTTCAGTATTGTGAAAGTAGAGTGAAATTAAAAAAACATACTGTGCACGCAAACTTAATAAACTAAATATTTTTTAAAAGCATATATTTTCCATAATATCTAACAACCGTCTACACTAAAATAATAAAAACAATTTTATTTTTACCTTTACTCGTGTTCTCTTTCTCTTACCTTGGTTAAAAACAAACAAAACCGTATCAATGTTCGATAAATTAATGTAAGTAATGTTATCATTTATTTTTATTATTTTATTGGCAGAAAATCTTTACCACATTGTAAATCAAATTTTTAAAATACCCTTTCGGTGAGGCGAAATATAAAATCTTCTGTCAACAGTTGGATCAGACTTTGTCAACTTTCTAAAATCAAAAAAAAAAAGAACTGTAATATGTTAGGCCTAGACACTAGATAATCAGTAAGTAGATTCAAAGAAAGATGGTCTCATATTAATGTTTGTATACTAATATGACAATATATCAATATCATTAGTATTGGTTTGATATCACACGATACTGATAACAATTTTCATACTATGTTACAAAATTTTATTGATTTAGCTAAATCTATTAGATCTAATTCAAAGGAGTGCATTTTATTTATTTGTGGTGGACATTTTAAAGATTTGATTATGTAGTTTTTATAATTTGAATCATTTGACCCAGGGCACCCACTAAAGGGTAGTTATTATAACAAAGAATGCCTTCCATCTTGTTTTTTTTTTCAAGTAATTCTGTTTTGTTGAATAATTTTATTTTTTTTTTTAGATGGAATTGGTATATTTTTGATTGAATACTCCATTGCTGAAATTATCTTCCTGCCAATCGCCTTGAAATTATCTTCCTATTTTAATCACCTTTTAACTCTGAAACATAAAATGTTTCAGAGTTAAAAGGTGAGAAAAGAAAAATAGGAAAAGATAATACATTTTTAAATTAAAAAATTAATAAAAAATAAAAATCACATCTATTATGACATACAACCAAATAATATACCTATTAACTGCTGGTTCTTTATAACAAATATTTAAACGAGATCTTTTTTCTTGTTTTAAATCTCCATCATCATTATTAATACTTTGATTAAAAAATCGAATTTGAGGAGGACTGAAAATTCTAACTCTTCTTCTGTTTTTTTCTCTTCCATCTGAACTATAGATACCTGAAATATTTGATAAAAAAAAAAAACCTTTCTTAAAAATTAAAAATTTGGTTGTTTAGCAAATTTTTAACTTTTGTAAATTTTTTTAATTTTAATTAGATAATTCTAGTTTTTAAAATGTAAAGAAAACCATTAAGACATGTATTACTAATTATAATAAATATTATTTTTATATTTTTAATATATTTTAGCTTATAGTGTGTGTGTTTAAAACTACTAAAGCCTGTAGTAGTTTTACTGTTTACAAACTATTTAGTAGCTCTCAGAGGTGTCATCAACAGCTGTAAAATAACAGTTTATTAACAGAGCTATAAAAGGCATGGATGTCTCTATTTGTGTATTAACAAAGCTATATAAGGAGCTCTGTGTTACCACTTTGGAATCATTAACAGAGATGAGGTATTGATTAGCTTATTGTTAAGGATGTAACTAAATATAAATGTACAAGTACTATTTATGTTTTGATGTCTATTAGCTAGGGCATATATTTACATATCAAATTACCTTATATCATAAAACCAAACTTGAATGCTTTGGCTACTCTTTTAAAAATATACATTTGTTAAGCAATATAAATATATATATATGTATATATATATATATATATATATATATATATATATATATATATATATATATATATATATATATATATATATATATATATATCAGTAATATTTTGGTAGACAGTGCTCAATACAAAAATAGAGCAAATATATATTATATTAAAATAATAATAAAATTAAATTTGCAACATAACTCAGAATTTCACGCTATATGCGATCATCAGACGTTACAAACCATAACAACAACAAAAATTATATACAAAAATTATATACAAAAATACAATACAGTGTTTGCTTAGATGACGTTAAAGTTGCAGGTAACAAATTTGTTTTCGTGGCGACATTTTGATATTAATTCATTTCGCTTATTTAATAGTTTCCAAGATTCTAGAGCACTTGTTTACTGAACACAATAGTATCTGGGTCAAAAAACTTGGTGATCCTAATTTTGACGTCACTATGGGAAGTTACGATGGGGCTAAGGTGTGTGAGTTAGTTGGACTCTTTATTTTACATACTTTAAGTCAAGACTATGGGTTGAAAACCGTTGGATTATATAGAGATGATGGACTTTGTTGTTTTCATGGAATTAATAGACCGCAATCCGAGAGAATAAAGAAAAACATCGTCCATCTTTTTAAGGAGAAATTTAATCTAAAACTTACTATTAAAACCAACTTAAAAATTGTAAACTTTCTTGATGTTACCTTCAACCTGTTAGAAAATACTTTCCAGCCATACAGAAAACCAGGTGACCTCCCATTATACATCAACGTAAATTCTAACCACCCTCCTAGTATAATTATATCCATACCAAGTATGATATCTAACCGTATAAGCAATATTTCATCTAGCAAAGAAGTTTTCAATAGTGCAACATCGTTTTATAACAATGCGTTAGCAGCAAGTGGGTTCAATGAAAAGATTCCTTTCCAAAAAAATCTTGCCCAACCAAAACCAAAATCAAGATCACGAAATATTATTTGGTTTAATCCTCTATTTTCGCAAAATATAAAAACCAACGTCGCAAAAATTTTTCTAAATCTAATTGAAAAGCATTTTCCAAAAACACATAAGTTTCGCAAAATTTTTAATAGGAATAACTTAAAAGTCAGTTATAGCTGTCTTCCAAACTTCACCAATATTATTAACTCACACAATAAAAAAGTATTATCTTATGTTTCCAACACAATTGTTCCAACGTGCAACTGCCAGCAACCTTCACAATGTCCTTTGCAAGGTACGTGTATTAGTAAAAATATAATTTACATCTGCAATGTAAAAACATCACCACAGGATAGTGGTTTAAATTATATTGGTTTAACAGAGCACACCTTTAAAGATCGCTGGTACAAGCATAAGAACTCCTTTCAATACGAAAGTAAAGCTAACGCCACAGAACTTTCTAAATATATCTGGGAAATGAAAAAAAAAGGGTTTTTCAAATCCTATTGTTACGTGGAAAATTATTAATAGAGCAGAACCTTTTAAACCCGGAAGAAAGTTATGTAACCTTTGTTTAATGGAAAAATACCATATCATTACATCATCTTTGAAACTATTAAATAAGCAAAATGAATTCATATCGAAATGTTGCCACGAAAACAAATTAGTTATCTGCAACTTTAACGTCATCTAAGCAAACACTGTATTGTATTTTTGTATATAATTTTTGTTGTTATTATGGTTTGTAACGTCTGATGATCGCATATAGCGTGAAACTCTGAGTTTTTTTTTATTTATTTTTTTATTTGCATTCACTCCCAACAAGGCTGCAAGCAACCACTATTAAGTTGGAAGTTACTAGGAAAAAAAAGAACAGAGGTATAGAGCAAGAAAACGGTTGACAGAAGACTTGAAAAGTTGAAGGTTGTATGAGTCAGGAAAACATGAAGATGGGAGAGAGTTCCAAAGGATTGAAGTGCGGGAAAAAGAACTAGATGAATAAAAGTTTTTAGAGCATGCAGGGACAGATAAGTAAACGAATGAGACTTAGCTGAATGACGAGTAAAATGAGAATGAATTTTAGTTGATGGAACTAGAGATGATAACTCCTTTGAGCAGTGACCATGATAGTATTTGTAGAAAAGAGAAAGAGATGCAACTTTACGACGATGGGAAAGAGGTTCAAGCTTAGCAGATAGTCCAGGTCCAACAACATTTACAATGCGTTTTTGGACCTTGTCAAGAAGAGAAAGTGAATCGTTAGAAGAACCAGCCCAAATATGACAACAGTATTCCATACAGGGACTAATAAGAGGTAGAGAATGGAATCAGAAGTAAGGAAATGGCGAGTTATGTTACAAATTACAAAATGGCGAGTTATGTTACAAATTTAATTTTATTATTATTTTAATATAATATAATATTATATATATATATATATATATATATATATATATATTATATATATATATATATATATATATATATATATATATATATATATATATATATATATCTATATCTATATATATATATATATATATATATATATATATATATATATATATATATATATATATATATATATATATATATATATATATATATATATATATATATCTATATATATATCTATATCTATATATATATATATATATATATATATATATATATATATATATATATATATCTATATATATATATATATATATATATATATATATATATATATATATATATATATATATATATATATATATATATATATATATATCTATATATATATATATATATATATATATATATATATATATATATATATATATATATATATATATATATATATATCTATATATATATATATATATAGATATATATATATATATATATATAGATATATATATATATATATATATATATATATATATATATATATATATATATATATATATATATATATATATATATATATATATTAGTTGTAATGTTATGTAAGAAAATCTCTATTTAAGGCTTAATTCAAATCTTTTTTTTTTTACATTACATTATGTCATTAGTTACACAGCCTTTAAAAGTTAAAAGTTTAAAAGCCTTTAAAAAACTGAATTGAGGCTTGTACTTGCTTCTTTAAGTAATTACAAAACCATTATATTTTTTTCATATTGAATGTTCAATCACTCGTAAGTTACTTTATGTATGGTTTGTGTTCTGTCTAAACTTCTGGAGTGGTGTTGGTTCACCTGTAAGTTACTTTATGTATGTTTGTTATGTGTTTAAATCTCCTATACAGTGTGAGCTCAGTAACTAACTTATAACTCTAACTATGAAACTATAAAACTTACGTTCACATTAATCTCTAGTGTTTTGTTAGATGTAATTTTTTTTTTACTGCATTTCCAAAATATCTTGCTTCATGTTTTAAAATACTGTTTACAGGAAGTAACTCCATTTAACTAGGTCAGGCTAGGTTCAGGATTATCATGATCACCCTGAAACTGAAATCATGTAATCCAGCACTTCCTGCCCCATTCCCTGCTACCTTAGGATTTGCTTATTTTGCCGTGACCATGCTCTATCTATGAATGTTCTTTTTAAACTGTTTTAATACAACTTTTACAAATATTCATGCAAAACAACCTTCCATAAGCTGAACCTTACCTTTTGCAAAATTTACCAGACTTAATTGTTCTCAATGAGATTAATTTAAACTCCACTATAAAAAGGCCTATGTTAATATCAACCCTCAAAACACCTAATTAGTATTATTATTAGTAGTATAAGGTGCTTAGTATTACATGTCTTAATGGTTTCATTTACATTTCCAAAAACTAAAATTATATAGATAAAATTAAATAAATTTACAAAAGTTAAAAATTTGCTCAAAAAGCATCTGCCTCAGATTACTCAAAAAAGTTGCCAAACCAATTGATCTTATTGAGCATGATTTTTAGTCAGATGTAAAATGCAAAATCTTAGGTATTTGCCTAAGCTGCACCCAAAAACAACTCGATTAATAAAGTCTTTTGCAGGTTTTTGTAAATTATCATCAATAATAGTAATAAGGCAATGCGTGGACTATTAAATAGAGTACTGAGCACTATCTGTGCTTTGAGTCAGGTTCTTTAACAAATTTAAAAATGACTAAAAGTACCAAAAACTGTAAAACACAAAAAACCAAATTCATTACCAAGTTCTCTAAATCTATCATTCACTAATAATCGTGGTCTTCAAACTTTTCTTCTGTTGAGTTTTATCTCTTGCAAAGTTCATCAGACCATCTTGCTCTTTGTGACATTAATTTGAGTTTGGCTGTTTTATCTTATGATCTTAGTGTTGATGGATATCTTCCTTTAATTCATAAAGACTACAATAGTCATATGCTTGGTCTGGACATTTAAATACACAAGAACTCATCGATTTGTCAGGAAACTAGGTTTGAATCCGCAGACTACTCTTTTATGTTCTCATTTATAATTTCAAAACTATTTA